CTGGGATGGAAGGGTCAAGTGAGGGTTTTTTGAGGCAGAGGAGACATGGGTCAGTCATGGTTGTAGGCAATAGAAAGTGAGCCAGTAGATAGGAAGAGATTGAAGATAAGTGATAGAGTAGGGGAGCCAAGCAGCAGTCTGTTGGAGATGGGATGGAATGGGATCATCTGAGCAGGTAGAGGAGTTAGCCTGGGTAAGATTCCCTCATCATGTGAGACAGGAGTGAAGGAGTAAAAAGGCATATAAGTGATAGGCGATGAGGAAAAGGAAACCTAGAATGGCCTCAATTTTTTTCTGAAAAATATGAGGTAAGATTTTCAGCTGAAAGAGTGAAGGGAGGGTGACTCATAGGAGGTTTGAGGAGGGATATAAAAGTTTGGAAGAGCTGCCATGGAGAGTATGATAGTGAGTTGATGAGGGGGAGGTATAGTAGGTTGCCTAGCATCAGTGAGGTTGTATAACATAAATTTGTAGTGGATCCAATCAGACTGTATGATTTTCTCCACCTTTGTTCAGTAGCATGTATTCTTCCTACATTTTTCTTTCCATCCCCTACCATTGTGTCTTATGTGTACTATGTCCTTCAGAAATGTTAAATTGAAATGATTATCTATTCAGCCAAGATGGTGGTGTATCAGGAACCAGTAATAGTGAACAACCCTCCCTCGCCTCTGGAGTCCTCCAAACAGATCTAGAAAATGCACTAGACTGAATCCTAATGGGGAAATCCAAAAAAAAGTTACAGTGAGCAATTTTTCTGTCTCAAGTCTTCATAGGGAGACAGACAGAAAAGTCTGTGAGCACTAGAGATAGGGGTCTGGCCAGGGGCATGCTGTGAGCATGAAGCACTCCAGCACCTCTGAGAAGCTCTTTAGTAGGGCAAGAGGAGGTCCAGACCCATATTAGGGTACACAGGAAGAGGTGGAAGCTTCCAGTTCCCAATCACAGATCTAGGGCAGACTGAGGAGGGTACCTACCCCAGGTTGAAGGTCCTAAGCTGTGTACAAAGAGAGAGCAAGCAAATTCAGAAGCAAGCAGCAGCCGTGTGATGGGATCCCTGGAGCTAAGTGGGGTCCCAGATCCAGATTCTGTTCCAATCTGAAGCCTACAGAGGAATAGCCCAGGCAGGAACTCCAGACCAAAGGGGAGCCTATAGTTCTGTCACTCTCAGCAGGCCTTCCTGGCTGGCTGAAAGGAATTGTATATGGCTGCAGTCTACTTGTTACTCAGATCCAAACCCAGGTCAGGAACTTTGAGAGCTCAGACCAGGGGAGCAGTGGTCAGACTTTGCCCTGAATCAGGTTACTTTGGAACCACTGAAAGGTTATATGTCTCCTGACTTAACTATCTCTGAGAGCCTGGAATAACAGCACTCAGTATCTCAAGAAAGCAGCAGCAGGACCAGCCTGGACCTTCCCTGCAGAAATGTGCAGACCCATTCCTTAACATCAAGTCTGAAGTCAGGAAGGATGTAGGTTGGAAGAATGAGCAAACGAAAAAAGAACTTCACCATGAAGAGATATGATGACAAGGATGCTCTAGATAAAAACCCGGAAATAGAGAATGACTCCAAAACAACGGTAAGCAAAGCTTCAAGAAAAAACACAGCTTTGGCCTAAACAAGTAGCATTCTTGGAAGAGATGAAGGGTTTGGAAAAAAGAGTTTAAAATGTTTATTTAAAGAAATCTGTCCAGATCTCTTAGAACCATAGGTCAAAGTGGAAGTCAAAAGAATTCTATTACCTCCTGAAACAAACCTAAAATAAAAATCGCCAGGGATATTATAGCCAAAATCCAGAGCTTCTAGGTCAAAGAAAAAATCCTTCAAGCAGTTAGACATAATTCAAGTACCAAAGAGCCACAGACAGGATCGCACACAATTTAGCAGCTGCCACTATAAAGGAATAGAAAACTTGGGATGTGATATTCCAGAAGGCAAAGAACAAAAACTGAGTATAATCTATAATTCTACTTGGGGGAAAAATGGACTTTTAATGAAATAGAGTTCCAAGCATTACCGATGAAAAGACTAGAGCTGCAAAGAAACTTTGAAGTTCAAACATGGGAGTGAAGAGAAACATAAAATGTTTTTTAAAAAAAAGCCCCCAAAATGAGCAATGATGAAAGACTAAAAGTAGGATAAACTGCTTACATTCTGATACAGGAAGATGATTCTTGTGTCCTTTCTGAACCCTAGCGTCATGATAGGTCATAACCAGAGTCTTAATTAGACAAGGCTTTAGAGTGATTCTGATCTTGAGAGAAGAATGGAAAGAGAAAAGAAGAATACACTAAAGGTGAGAAGTAAAGGAAGTTAGGGAAAATTATCTCACATAATCAGGGCGCACAAGTGGATATCTGTACAAAGAGAAGGAAGAGGGGAGCGGGTGACATTTAAATCTCATTCTCATCTGAAAAGGGAGAAGGGGGATTTGGAGGGAGGATGAATCAAGTGAGGAAATAGTCCTGAGTAAAACAAACTCTGAGGATGTACAAAAAATAGTTATAACTCTTTTTGAGGTAGCAAAGGTTGCAAATCTTAGGGAGTGCCCATAAATTGGAGAATATATAAGTTATGGTGCATAAATATGATGGAATGTATTATCCTGTAAGAAATGAAGTAGATGATTTCAGAGAAGCCTGGTGAGATTCGTATGTACTGATTCAGAGTGAAGTGAACAGTCCAGGAGAACAATTTGTACAATGACAACATATGATAAAGAAAAAGAAATTGAAAAAATTAGAAATTCTAATAATGACCAACCACGATTCCCGAGGACTAATGATGAATTTGCTACCCACTTCCTAACAGAGAGGTGAAAGACCCAGTGTAGAGAAGGGATTTTGCATATACATATATACATGTGTGTATCTATATGTGTTTTTGAAAGTGGCCAATGTGGAAATTTGTTTTGCTTGATTATGTTTGCTTGACTATAACAGTTTTATTTTTCCTTTTGTTTTCTCATTTCTTCTCAGTAGGGGGTGGGAGGAGCAGCTAATATTAAAAAATAAAATTGAAAAGAAATTAGTATCTATTTCCTTAATTTTCATTTTACTTAGGTAATATTTTTATGTTTCTGAGCGGGAAAAACTATGCTGCTTTGATTTAACTATAATTGAATTGCATAAGGGAGGTATCAAGGTAGGCAGGTGGATTGGTGTGAGGTGGCATGAAACAGTATTGATGTAGCACAAAGTAGAGTTTAGTACTTTTTAGTGTATCTGAAGCTTTATGGCAATTAGCATGGTTCTTTGTAATATTTGTATTTGGCATTGAAGAAATAAAATGGTAGTAATGCACTTTTCTTTCCTTTTAAAATTAAAAAAAATTTTTCAGTTCCAATTTTCTCCCTTTCTGTACTCTCCCACCTACTGAGAAGGTAAGAAATGTTATACATATTATACATATGAAGTCACGTACAACATATATCCAGTTTTTTTATATGATTATTGATAGCTTTGATTTCTTCTTCTCAAAACTGCCTGTTCATATCCTTTGACCCTTTATTGATTGGGGAATGGCTCTTATTTTTATAAATTTGGCTCGGTTTCCTATATATTTAAGGAATGAGACCTTTATCAGAGAAATTTGCTATACAATTTCCCCCCTACTTTCTTGCTTTCCTTCTAATTTTGGCTGTATTGGGTTTTGTTTGTGCAGACATTTTTATTTTAATGTAACCAAGATTATCCATTTTACTTTCCATGATCTTCACTATGCTTCTTTCCCCATGTTCTCCTAATTTGCTTACATCACCTATTATGTCTAAATAATGTACCCATTTAGACTTTATCTTGATATGTGGTGTGAGATTTTGGTCTATGTCAGACTGCTTTCTAGTTTTCCTAGCAGTTTTTGTTGAATAGTGAATTCTTGTCCCAAAAGTTCAGATCTTTGGGTTCATCAAACACTAGATTACTGTGGTCATTTACTTCTTTATATTCTGTTGTTCCACCATTCTATTTCTTCTTCAATACTAGATTGTTTTGATGATTACCACTTGTAGTATAGTTTGGCTTCTGGTACTACTAGGCTGCCTTCCTTTCCTTTTTTTTTTTTTAACTGATTCCCTTGATTTTCTTGACCTTTTATTCCTCTAGATGAATTTTGTTGTTATTTTTTTTCTACCTCTACAAAATAATTCTTTGGTAGTTTGATTGCTATGGCACTGAATAAGTAAATTAATTTAGATAGTATTATAATTTTTATTATATTATCTTAGCCTACCCATAAGCCATTAATATTTCTCCAGTTGTAAGATCTGTCTTTGTTTGTAGGAAGAATATTTTGTAATTGTGTTTGTATAATTCCTTTGTGTGTTTTGGTAGGTAAACTCCCACACATTTTATACTGTCTGCAATTTTTTTAAATGGAATTTCTCTTTCTTTCTCTTCCTGCTGAGTTTTGTTGATAATATGTAGAAAAGCTGATGATTATTGTAGGTTTATTTTGAATCCTGCAACTTTGCTAAAATTGTTAATTGTTTGATTAGTTTTTTAGTTGATTCTAGTAATGCTGTTTTCAGTATATTCAGCTGGATTTTTTTGTTTCTGTGGTGAAACATATTTTGAATCATTTGTGTTTATATCTTGCTTTTAAAAGCCTTAAAACTTGTGCTGGAATTGGAGGTGTTTGCTACTCCTGTACTTCAAAGGTTGAACAATAAGGAGAAGCAGTGTTGTTCATTTACTTCTTACTCTAAAGGAAAATGTACAGAATTGGGTTAAAGTAGTGGTATATTTCACATAATAAAAATATGTGATCCAACAGAGCTTTATAAAATATATTTATAGATCTGGAATTCTAAAAATTCAAAAAGTTATTTTATTTTACACCGAGTGTCAAATTTAAAATAAACCTATCATTTTTCTGATTGTTCTTTCTCAATTTTATTTGCCTCTGTAGAAAAAGCAAGCATACAGATTTCTCAATTTTCAAAACTTGCTAAAAATAAAAATTCATTGCAATAATTTATAAGATCTTATTCTTCTTTCAGATAAAATGAAGATTATTCATCAGGCACATAAATCAAAGGTATGTTTGATAACATATGTACATGTATGCTTGAGATTTATTATTTGTGATACTGATAACATTACTGTAAGAATGATTTTCTATTTTCTTAACTTCTTTGGAGCTATTCTTTTGGAAAACATTAACCTGGAGAGTGGAATTATGCACAAAGGGCAACCATACTGTGCCTGTCCTTTGATCCAGCAATACCACTATTAAGTCTGTATCCCAAAGAGAACATAAAAAAGGTAAATGGACCTACATGCACAGGAATATTTATATCAGCTCTTTTGTGGTGGCAAAAAATTGGAAATTGAGGGGATGCCCATCAATTGGGGAGTGGTTTAGCAAGCTGTGGTATGTAAATATAATGGAATGCTACTGTGCAATAAGAAATGATGAACAGGCAGATTTCAGAAAAACCTGGAAAGACTTACATGAACTGAGGCGAAGTGAAATGAGCAGAGCCAGGAGACCGTTGTACATAGTAATGGCAACATTGTGTGATGGTAACTATGAATGACTTAGCTTTTCTCAGCAGTACAGTGATCCAAGACAATCATAAAGGACTCATGATGAAAAATGCTATCCCTATGCAGAGAAAGAGCTAAGGGACTCTGAATGCAGATCAAAGCATACTATTTTCACTTTCTTGTGTTTGTATGTGTTTTTCTTTCCTTTTGGTCTATTTCTTCTTTCACAGCATGACTAATATGGAAATACTAACAGTAGTTCTGATATGTACACATTTGTGTGTGTGTGTATATATATAATATATATATATATATAAATATGTACACACACACACACATACACACACATAGAACAAATACATACAACAGAGTCCCAAAATTCATGTAATTCAGATTATTTGCAAAGAAAACTTCTTACTATCTCCTTGGCCACTCACTAACCCATATGCCAGGGGTGTAGAACCTGTTTCCTTCTAGGTCCTTGGGCGTGGCCTTCTAACTGAGTCCAAGTTTTACAGAACAAATCCTTTTATTAAGGGGATTTTTTCTGTGAAGTTTGGATTCAGTGAAAGGGCTGAACTTGAGAACCTAGAGGGCCATGTGTGGACTTGAGGCTGCAGGTTCCCCATCTCTGTTCTACGGGCTTATGATTCCTTACCAGAGAGACTGGAGTAAAGGCCCTGTAATATGCTTGCAGTGACCTAAATATTGTCCAGATTGTGTGGAGGGTGAGCATAGTTACTTTTATTATTGGGAAGAAATCTTTTTGAACCAGTAACAACAGCAATCTTCTCTCTTTCCTCTGAGGGCTTACACACACACATACACACACACACACACACACACACACACACACACTCTGTTTACAAGCCTAGTATGTTATACTTATTGGCCTACCTGGTATCTAAATAGTCTAGTATGTTAATAAAACAAAGGTTAAGAGTTTGATCCTTGCATAAGCTAAGCACCCTTGTTTTATTCTCTGGTCACAGACCATATTCCTAAACCTAACCAGCCCTCTAGCCAATGTGTGCCAGTTATTTTAAGGATGATGCACTGAGAGTTTGCATAAATCAGAATATCCTTTAGCACTACTAGAAAAACGGCAGCATGATCTAGTGTTATCTTTTTATACAAGGGACATTGTACATGTAGACAATGTGCAACCTTGCCTTTCTGGCACTTAGAATTCTCAAGGAACTGGCAATATAGTGGCTTAGAAAGAAATGATCAGCAGAAGATAATTTGCCTCATTTATGCCTATAACTGCAAAAATACAGCCTGGTTTTTAACAGTGTAGCAGTAGTATTCTTAAAGTCCACAGGATGGAGCACTTTTACCTGTGAAGCAAGAGAGTGGGTTGACATGGTTATATTGAAACTGAAATAAAATGTCATTATGATACATAAAATTTCCATCATCTCTATCTTTAAGGCAAAATAACCTCATAAGAAGAGATTGCTTCAACCTTTGATTAAAAAGTTAACATAGGAGACACAGACATGTTACATAGGGAGTTATGTATATTCTAAACCAATTTTAATTGAAGAGTCAAATGATAAGAAATCAAACTTATATTTGGGGATTTAAAAATTAAGTCCCAGGTCAGATCCTGGGTTCAGTAAAACACCAAACCCAATGTCCTAAGACATCTGCATCAGTGTCATCATGAAATAATTATCATGATGATGCTTTATTGTGGCCTGGAGGTGGGACCTTGGGTTTTCAAAGTTTATGCTTGGGGAATGTTAACACTGGCAGATACTCCTAAGATGGAGTATTATTCTGGGTACCTAAATGCAGGCTTGATGATGGACTCTTATTTCTTTTTCCTGAGGACTAACCTAGCTGAATTTGGTGAGGCTGTTCACCATGTTGACTTAAGACTGATAAATGTTATCAGTCACACTAAGTCTTGAAGATTGTCCATTAAATCAAAGAGGAAGTATGATATAGATAAGTGGAAGAAAGAATATAGAAACTAATGAAATCCCAGGTTGTTGAATTTAGTAAATTGTGTTGACATATATTGTCATCAAGAAATTGATTATAGTTCTATGTAGTTTCCATAGTTAGAAAATTATGTTATGTGTTGGTAAATCCTAACACTTTTTGATGAAAACTATTCTATTATGTATGAATATAGTCCCAATAAAAAGGCCTCAGTGTTTTTGGGGTTTTGGTCCAGAGCTTTGTTTTTATTGGTATTAGGAATTCCCAACAAGCAGCGTCTTCCAATACAGTAGTCTTAGAGAATTTCCTGGGAGAACTGAAGAGTTACATGACCTGCCCAGGGGTCCACAGCCCGCAGCTGTCAGAGAGACAGTAATTAAATCCAGATATTCCTGACTCCAAGGCTGGCTCTCTATTAATTATTTCATGCTGCTGTTCTTATAGGCATAACCTTCAGAAATCTAGAAACTCAGTCATCTAGAGCCTGTTGTTTTCAATTATGCCCAAGAGTATTCCCTAGAAAGTATGCATACAAACTAATGTTTTCTAACACACTTTGGCTAATAAACTGTATTTATACATGTAATATAAACAACAGATGTTCAGCTGGTGATGTGGAAAGAAAATGCAGGCAGACCTGGGTTCAAGTTCTGCCTAAGTTCCTTTCTACCTTCTTTGGCAATTCACTTAACTTCTTTAGTCTGTACTTACTTTATTTATGAATTGAAAGTATTGGACTAGTTGATCTCACGTTCTATAATTCTGATCTGTAAACTCTTGGTTTACTAATTATTCTGGGTACCTAATTTTTATTGATAACTGGCCAAAATTTTATATGTTAGTTGTTTTGTTAGAAATCATTCAAAAATGTATTACATATGTCCCTGCATTCTTGAAGTATGCAGACCATAATTTAAACTGGCTTGGGGTTGTAATTATGAAAATCAATGAAGGGCTGCTAGGTGGCACAGTGGATAGAGCAACCCGCCCTGAAGTCGGGAGGACCATAGTTCAAATCTGGCCTCAGACCAAACACTTAACACTTACTAGCTATGTGACCCTGGGCAAGTATTTTACCCCAATTACCTGAAAGAAAAAAGGAAAATCAATGATTATTTCTGCACATTAATAAAATGAATTCCCCTGTGGTTTCAATGCAAGGAATTCCCCTGTAGTTTCTTGATGAGGGCTATTTGCTTCCTACAGTATTGTTTTTAAATTCATCTCTTTTATAACTTTTCTATCCCTTCTCTTGTTCTTCCTTGTCACTTCTTGCTGTTTACAGAGTGCCTAACTGTAGTAATTTCTCTTCCTTTCTAATTGCTTGGAAACCAGGTAGCCAACCAATTTTTAGAATTATATGTAAAATAATAATAACTTGTGAGGAAAATCTGAGAGGTTCTTCACTGAATAAAATAGTAAGTGTGAATGGACTTTGTAAAATCTATTTTGACAGATTCTTTTAGTTTGCTCCCTAGATCTCAGCCTTATTCTGTGTGGCTGTTATCAGAGAGGTGAGTTTTGGATAGGTGAAGTTTTAACTGTATGTGCCAAATTAGATGATATCTTTAATACTCTTTATAAGCATTTTCCAATTTACAAATGAACTACATTTCCAAGCTTAAAACACATGTTATAGAAACCTTTTAAATTCATAATTAAACTCATTTCGATGAACTGTAGCACCAACGATATGCTAGTTTCCCATTATTTTTTGGGAAAATGAGTTTTGAGTTTCAAAAGGGCGGGGTCGGCAGGGTTTCCCAGCATATAGTAACAGGGAGGTAATTCTCTCAAGGTAGAGAGCAACTGGAAGAGGTGAGTCTGTGATTAGGGCAACTTTACTCTTTACACATAAGAGATGTTTGTAAATTGGATATTTTTAATTAGTGAACCAGTGAACTGCAGAATAGAACTTTGCTTAATTAGAACCCACTGAGACTCAATTAAGAAATATTTTTTCTGCACAAAATAAACTCATGTCAGAGACTGATTCAAGCAGCTGAGCTCCCGGGCTATGTCTTAGCCTTATGGAAACTATTCTATTATACATGAATTAAACACCTATGAAAAGGTCTTGGTGTTTGTAGGGTTTTGGCCTTGAGCAGAGATGGGGAACCTGTGGCCTCGAGGCCACATGTGGCCCTCTGAGTCCTCAAGTATGGCCCTTTGACTGAATCCAGTTCCCCACCCCTGCTCTAGAGCTTTGTTTTTATTGGTATTGGAAATTTCCAGCAAGGAACATGTTCCAATGCAGTAGTTTTAGAGAACTGCCTGAGGGAACTGAAGGGTTACATGACTGGCCCAGGGTCCTCCTGTGCTTTCAGCATTGACATATGCTGCCAAGAACAGACCTCATCAGGGAGGGAGAAATGTTTCAATCAGTAGTAGAATGATAAGCCTTAAAAAACAATCCTATCAGATAATTTAATAAAATATTAATGAATTAGTAGAGAGACATTGTATTGTGTTGGATTCACGTCCTGCATCTGACATAGCATCTGTGTGTCTCTGAACCAGAACCTTAATCACTCAGTGCACCCAGATAACTCAATTCTAAGTTTTAAGTGTGTTGATGATCAGCATTGATAGAAAAAGTTTTCATGTCAAAAATTTCCTATATCAATGAAATCAGGTAAAGAAAAAAGTCTTGATGAAGTGCTTCTTATGTATTCAGCACTGTGTTAGGCATGATGGCAGATAGGAAAGAAGTGAAACACATGGTCTCTGTTTTCCACAGAGCTAAAATCCAGTGAGGGGTGAAAGACACATGAAGCAATCAGGTAACAATTAAATGCTAAACTATGGAATTGACTATGAGTTTAGAAGGAATGCAGAGAAGAGAGAGATCATGATGGGAAAGAGTTATATAAAGAGGAAGTACTTGAGCTGGGCTTTGAAGGCTGGAAGGTTTTTAGATAAGTGGATAGGGCATTCTGAGCAGGGGGAAATAGCATAGGTAAAGGCATGGAAATAGGAATAAAAGTTCCATTCCTATGAGCCAGCCTCAATTAGTTAAAAGTTTGAATTGTAAGATAACCGAAAGAAATTCAATTTGATTACTTTCTAGTAAATATAATTGGAATTAGATTATTAGGTTAAAAAGTGTTGCCCAGTGAGGAGGCAGTGGAAAATGTACTGGATTTGGTACCAGAGTACCTGGGTTCGAATCTCACCTTTGATACTACCTATGTGTCCTTGGGCAAATCACTTTATCTCCTTGGGCCTTAGTTTCCTCCTTTGTACAGTGAAATGGTTGAACTAGATGGACTCTAAAGCACCTTCCTACTCTGTATCTGTCATCTTATGATCCTATAAATAACCTGCTTTAATGAAGAGAATGGATTTGCCTTGAGCATACCTGCTGATGGGAAATTTATTGCTTAATAAGTAATTTGAATGAAGGAATGAGTTAATTCTTCTATAACACATAAGGTCTCCATTTATTCTGTAAAATAAGTGAAATTTTACCTATGTTTATGTTAAACCCTTCCTTACTAGACAATAGAGGTTCTAACTGAATTATCCTAAGGTACTAATTAATAAAGTCTGTGTTAATGAAGTTTTACCATGTTGGTAAATATCATTTCACAACATTATGTGAAACTAAACTTCTCATTGAAATATCTCCAAATACTTTTTAGCTTAGTTAAGTTTTTAGACCCAACATAAATAGTTGGGTCTTTTCTCATACATTTCCCTTTATTCTAGTTACTGTACTATAAAATAATCTGACTCAGTTTGAGAGTCCTAGAATCCATTACGGAATATAGAGCTTTAGAAATGCTGATAAAATTAATGTCCTTTTTAAATTTTTTCCTTTATAGACTAATGAGCTTGTGTTGAGTTTAGAAGATGATGACAGATTCTTGTTAAAAGAAGACTGGACTATGAAAGCAGCTGGAGTTGGTAAGAGTGCATTTATATTGCCTGAAGGTGGTACTCACTTTGCTTGCCTCTTTATGCTGATGACTGGCTGATTATGTTTGGATAGCTTGCTGAAAAGTAAATGCTATCCCTGACTCTCTTTACATTCTCTGATAATTATTCAGGGAAGCAAGAGAGAGAAGGTGATGTACATTCAGATCACTGGAATGAGGGCAACAGGTATCTGCTCTCCAGATGTTCAGAATGCAAATGTGTTTTTCAGAAGGTATGCTCAGAATTTTGTGGAGGGTAATTTTAAGTGATTAACAGGTTATTAGTACCATGTCTGCTTGGTCTTATCAGTAACATTTAAACTGATGTTTTGGATAGAAATTTAAGTAGTCAAGCTAGTGTGGAGTAATAAAATGAGATTGTTTGTTTAATATGAATCGTGGTTTCTGGTAGTCATTCAAATCATTTCAGGCTGCTTAAATAATAGAATTTAAAATTGAATTTAGTGTGTGTCGCTTAAAAATGACCTGATTTTTTTTTCATTTTTCATTGGGAATGTTCATGTTCAATAGAAATACTACTGGGAAATTTGTACATGTGACATGCTTTGTGACCATTAGATGTCACTGCAATTCTATTTATATATGGACCTGAAAAATCATCTGATAACAGAACAACCCAAGACTTGAAGGGACAGCTGGATACTGTTAGATTTTTGCCATGTGATCTCTTTTTTAGCAGTGAAAGTGACTGTCATTGATATAGAATGTTTACTTTATAATCTCTTAGATATTTTGATTACATCATACTTGGGTTTTGCTTGTAGCAGGAAGTTTGAAGTACAGTTGAAGGCTCATTGGCACTAGAGTCAGAGGACCTGGGTTCAAAACCTGTTTCTGATGCTTAAGTGACTTGACCTTGGGCATGTCGTTTATCCTCAATTTCCTCATCTATAAAATGAAGGGATTGTCCCTTCCAGGTCTAGATCTAGAATCCTGTAATCCTTTTAGGGAGCTTTGATTAACAGTTTATTTGATTTTTGATACATTTTATTGATATCTTTTGTCTTTACGAGACAGTTATCTCTGGAGGAAAAAGCCCCTCACTCCCCTCCAGGTTGAACTCCCTCTGCCCCCCTTGTGAGAAAGACGAACAATTAGGGGCAGTTGGGTGGCACAGTGGATAGAGCACCGGCCCTGGATTCAGGAGGACCTGAGTTCAAATCTAGCTTCAGACATATAACACTTACTAGCTGTGTGACCCTGGGCAAGTCACTTAACCCCCATTGCTCCCCCCCCAAAAGAACAATTATAGCAAAAACATCCAGTATCATCACTGAATTCTGCTGAGAAGGGAAAATGTATCATTCAGTCAGTCAACAAGCATGTATTAAGTGCCTGCTACATTCCAGGCACTGGGAACAAGCAAAAGGGGCCCTGTTGTTAAGGAGTTTGCATTCTAGTGAGGGAGAGATCCGTATGGCATCCATGGAAGGCTTCATGAGCAGTTCCCTGGACCTTCACTGATATTTTAAATACTTTGGAGCTCAGCTTCCTCTTAAAGTTACATTTTGCATTATTGTCATCACTGGGTGTCTTCTCCTAGTTCTGCTTATTTGATTCTGGAGAAGTTCCCACAGATCTGCCAGTACTTCTCTGAATTCCTCATATTCACCACTTTTTACTACCTGGTAATATTCAACTAAAGTCATATGCCATGTTTTAATTTTTTTCGTTTTTCTGGGGTAATTTAAGAAACGTCAGTGCATTGAACATTTCAATAGGCAAAGAAGGACAGAAAAGATGTTATGTGCAACTAAACTTCTCTTACATAGTTTTTAAGTTGTATAATTGCCCTGCTTCTCTGTGTCCCTTTCTGAACTTCCTGCTTCCTTCTGTGTATTCTGAAGTGTTTCGTTGTTACTCTTTTCTTTCCTTTCTTTTTGTTCGTTTTTTGCATCACTCTCATTACTCACCAACCTTTCCCTGTCTCAAAATAGAAGTACTTTAGTGGTGTGTGGGCAAATGTTTAACAACTGGTTCTCTGGGAAAAAAATGTAGACATGACACACTTTTAAGTTAATCTGAATTAACATTTTCACTTTACGAAATCTAGACAGCAGCACAACAGTACTGGTTTGTAGCATTTGCCTATTTCCAAGATGTAGATGTTCACCCTGAAAACTTAACCCCTGGCTTCCATAGGAGCTGGCCCCAGCACACCTCTGCCTATACCCAATAAGGAGAGTCAAGCAAAGTCAGTTCCTTGCACCAGCTCTGTCTATAAACGTTGGCCTCCTTCCGTACCTGTGTATCTCACCTCTGTGCCAGGACATGGTGAACTTTATCATCAGTCTTCTCCATCTCATTGTTCAGAGTTCTGAAGAGTCTTTCAAAATTGTTTCTTTTTATAATATTGAGATTCTTCTGTGAGTTGTTCTTCTGATTCTGTTCACTTGAACCTGCTAAACTGGTTCTTAAATGTCTTCCTAGGCTTCTCTGAATCCATCATGTTTGTCACTTCTTATACAATAATACATTCATATGCTATGATTTGTTCAGCCATTTTCCAGTTGATGCTCCCTAATTTGTTTTCAGTTCTCAGCTACAGTACAAGGTGCTGCCATAAATATTTTTGTACAGTATTTTTTGTGTATCAAACTAAGTGGTGCAGTGTGTGATGGAGTGTCGGATTTAGGCAAAGGAAGACCTGAGTTTGAATCCTGCCTCAGATAACCTACTAGTTTAGTGATTCTGGGCAAGTCTTTTAACCCCACTCAGCCTCAGTTTCCTGGAGGATACCCACAGTTAGTGGAGGTGGGGGAGAGAAGGGAAAGGAAACAAGCATTTATTAAGCTCCTACTATGTTCCAGGCACTTGCCAAGTGCTTTATACACAACCTTGAGAGATAGGTGCTATTATTATCCCCATTTTACAGTTGAGGAAACTGAGGCAGATAGAGGTTAAGTGACTTGCCTAGGGTAACACAGCTAGTAACTGTCTGAGTCTGGATTTGAATTCAGTCTTCCTGACAGCAGGTCCAGTGAGTGCTACTAGTTGCCTCTATATAGTTTCCTCATCTGTAAAATGGAGATGATAGTAGAACTTGCCTCACAGAGTTGTTGTAAGGATGAAATTAGGGAGCTTATGTAAAACCTTTTGCAAACCTTCAAATCCTATACAAATGCTAGCTTTTATTACAAGCGGGCTCTTTCTCTGTTTTTGACAGACTCTTCAGAGGGTGGTGGTGGGCGTGGTATAAAGTTCATAGTGATGTCATTGAGTCAAGGAAAGTATTGCTCACACTGCTTTACAGAACAGTTGTCTCAGTTAACGACTCCACCACAGAGCACTGATGTGTCTGTATTATCCATTTTTCAGTCATTCTCCAACTGATGGTCACTCACTTTATTTCCAATTCTTTGCTATTACAAAGAGTACTGTATTGATACTTTGATATATCATTGATCTTTGTATTTTTCTTGGACTTTTTTGTTGTATATACCCAATAGTGGAATTACTGGGTCTAAGGAATATGAAAGGTTTAGTTACTTTTCTTATATAATTCCAAAGTGATTAGAAGGGCTGGCCCAACACAACTCTGCGAGGAGTTTACTAATATGCCTTCCCTTAGCCTCTTCAACACTGAATGTTTTTTGTCATCTTTTCCAGTTTGTAGGGTGTAGAGGTAAAACCTTAAGATGGTTTTAATTTGTGTTTTTCTTACTATTAATTATTTTTCTAAAGGTCATTTACAGAACATAATTTTTCTTTCAAAAACCATTCATACCCATTGACAATTTGTTGGGCAGTGACTTTTGGTGTTACATGTTTGTGTCATTTGTGTTCCCAATGTATATTAGATCTAAGAATTTTACTGGTAATACTTGATGCCATCCCCCCCCAATATTTTAAGATTATAAGGATCATAGAATCATAGATTTAGAACTGGAAGGGACCCTATAGCTCATTATCTAACTCCCTCATTTTACAAATAAGGAAACTGAGGCCCAGAGAGGTTAAGTGACTTGCCTAGGGTCACACAAGTAATAAGCAGAAGAATTAAGATAACCCAGGTCCTTCCCAGGTTCTTCACCCTTTCTACTGTACCAGCTCCTTCTTCCCCTTTCTATTCTATCTTCATTGCTTTCATTTGTGTAAAAGCCTTTTATATTTTATAATTTTATGTGACCAGAATTGTCTGTTTTGTCTTTTATGATCTCTTATATCCTTGTTTGCATAAGAAGTTTCCCCCTTGCCTTCATTGTGAAAGGTACCTCATCTTATTCTTAACTTGATCCATTCTAACTTGGTCCATCCCTCCCCACTAGCTGTTGTCTTCTCTTTGGTAGCTAAACTCCTTGAGAAATCTGTCTACAATGGTGCCTCTGTTCCTTTCCTCTCGCTGTCTTCTTAACTCCCTGCAGTCTGGCTCATTCAACTGAAATTGCTCTCTCCAGGGATCTCATAATTGCTAAATCTAATGGTTTTTTTCTCAGCCTTCATCCCTCCTGATGTTGGTAGCCTTTGATACTCTCAGTCATTTTCTTCTTGATATTCTCTTCTCTGTAGGTTTCTAAGACATTGTTCTGTTTTGGTTCTCCTTCTTTCTGACCACTCCTCAGTCCTTCGCAGGCTTTCCAGGGCCCTTTCCTGGGCCCTCTTCTTTTTTTCCTCTTTACTGTTTTGCTTGGTAATCTCATTATCTCCCAACGTGATTTTATCATCTCTATGCAGATAATTCTCAGATCTACTTACTAGCCCTAACTTCTCTCCTGACCTCCAGTCTCTTGTCTCCAATTGCCTATTGGACATTTCAAACTGGATGTCCAGTAGACATCTTCAAATAAGGACTCAATTATCTCCCTCTCGCCCCTTAACCCTTCCTTTTCTGAACTTCTCTGTTACATTTGAGGGTTCCACTATCCTCTCAGTCACCTTTTTGGTGTCACAATCTAAGTGTCAATTTCACTTGACTCGCCCTCAAATCCAATCTCTTGCCAAATCTTATCAATTCTTCCTTTGCAGCAT